CATCATCATTTCAGTCCTGATGTCAGCAAAAGTCCATTAAGGGTTACCAGAGATAACAACAAAATGATTTTAACCTTGATCAAATAAACCAACTTTATATTCCTTCCTTTTACTTCTAAAAATTTTAATCTTTAGTCCTTCAAATAATGTTGTTGAACTTGGTTTCTTTTCATTTTTTCTTGGTCCTTTGTCACAAAATTCTTCAAAGTTTTATCAAGCCTCTTGTAAATCCAATATAGGAAAATTATCCAGGTCACTCTCTTGGTTTGTTGTTTGTATATCCCTTTTAATTATTAAGACATCTGCTGGTTTCTTTTGTATGTCCAGTGTAACATCCTTTTCCATGTCATGTAGAAATCCACTTTCAACTCAGTCTTGATCTTGTCAGGTAGAACTTGCTCCTCTTCCATAACATCTTTTAGACACAGTCTATCTATGGAGGCAGACACTTTAAAAAATAACTTCTGGGTCCATTGTTCAAAAATACGTCCAATGTTAAATTATTTTGCTTCATTCTGTAATGGCAAGTCAAGTTTTCTTCTCCTTTAATTGTAATCTTTCGTTCCCTCTAGTTTCTTCTAGTGTCCAATTTTTTAAATCTTATTATGTTTCAGAACAAAAGCATTTTCCCATGGGAAGGATTCTTAATATTAATTCCAAAATCTTATTTCAAATTTATCTGGATTCTTAGTCCATTTGTAACTTTCTAAAATCAAAGTTTTAATCACCATTTTGCTGTTTATTCCACACACACACAATTTTTTTTTAAAGTTCTTAAACTTGTAGTTAAAACTTCTTTCACTAAGGATTGAAGGAAACTCACCCAGTGTTTTCAGACTTGTCAATCCAAAGGTTCCTAATAGCTGAAAAGCAGCTAACAAGCAATTTTTGAAAGTGATTAGAGAAGGAAGTACCCAGTGTCCTTTTAAAGGTGCTGACCGTGGTTTGAGCAAATGGTTATTCTCTTGGCTCTAAACTCGCCGGAGACTGCTATCTTGCAGTCTCATGAGAAGCAGCTGTCTGGAGCACTTGTGGGTGATCTCAAGTCCTCTCCTTGTCCGGAGAGGAATTATCAATGAGCTGGTCTACTTGCCAGCTCTTCATTCCACCGCGGTCGTTGGCTCCGCTTTTCAAGGAGCTGTTTTCAGTCCACCATTTCTTCCCCAGATGCTCTTTCTTTCCTTCTGTTCCCCTCTGGGTTTATTTTCTTGCCATTGTTGTTCTTTTATCTTGTGTTGTTTTTCTATTTTTTTCTATTTTTCTTTGTTTTTAAATGTTTTAACAATTGTAAACTGCCCAGAGTTGCTGGGAGTCAAGCGGCATATAGATTTAATTATCATCATCATCATCATCATCATCATCATCATCATCATCATTATTATTATTATTATTATTATTATTATTATTATTGGTTTTCTTCATTTGTTAGGCAGCTGCGAGAGAGAGGAAAAACAGAGAGGACTCACTGCTGTCAATTTAGAGAGCCTCAGCAGTTTTAAAGAAAGAAGTGAAATATCAGAAATGAAGAAAAATGCCATGTGGAAGAGATTCTGATTCCCAGCCCTTAGTTACCTCGACTTTCTGCCGGACATCCTCTCGGTTGGCCATGAGATGATTTAGGGTAGTCTGCGCATGCTCCATTCGGCTACAGTACTCGCCATAAATCAAAAGCCTGCAAAGAGCCAAAGGGGACAATGGATCCAGCCCCTGTGGCTTTGGCTTCACCCCAAGCAGCCCAGCCTCACAACCCTACTGCGGGAATGCGTTGCTGAGGCCATCGAGCGCGACTGCCTGCTTAGGGCAGGAATCAGGGGCTGCCCAAGCTCTGCTCAAATCTGTTAACGTGGAGGTCCTCCACTGACTCGAATACCTCCACTATCTCTGGGTCCACTGGCACCTGCGGGGCGTGAGTGTGCATGTGCCTGCATGTCAGACTGACATCAGCAGCATCACGAGGCAACCCCCGCTTCTTTCCTACATGCGCCGCAACATCCCACGTACAGCCCAAAAGTAGCAAGCTCGAGGTGCAACGTTGCAACGCTGCTTTGGTCTTCCTGTCAAGGGCAGTCAGCCCCCTGGCAAAGTGGCCTGGGTCATGGGTTCCACCCAACTGCTCTTACCATCAGGAACGTTCTTCAAATATTCAACCGAAATCTGCCTCCTTGCAGCTAAAATCATTGCTCCCTGCCCTGGACTGTGGAAAGAACAGCTCTTGCCTTCTTCTCCTGGCATCCTTTCAGCTGTCCAATTCCCCACCCAGTCTCTTCTCAAGGCCAGACACACTATGCTCTTTCAGCTGTTCTGAATCTTTCCTGAAAAGCCCTACCCAGGACTTCAGGTGGGGTCTGTTCAATGCAGAATAAACTGGAATGATAATTTCTTAAAATTTGGAAAGTGTACTCTTGCTGATGCAGCCTGTGCAATGCACCTATGATGCAATGCACGGGCCTTTTCAAACTACTTCATCAATGTAATGTCTTTTTCACAAGTACTATTACCACAAGTACTATTCTATACCTGCGTTTCTTGTTTATTTTCTCCCTAAATGAAAAACCATTAGTTTAACTTACATTCACTGTTTCTCATTTACACATACCTCTATTGTTTGTAACCCACCCTGGGAGGATAGATCCCACTCTGAACATTCAAGGTTTCCACTACACACACATATGTACAACTGCCCCTAACGCCAACTGAAGGCTGTCATGGCATTTAACGGTTTGCCAAAACAGAAACAATAGTTTGATACTAAATGAGAAAAGAATAATGAAAGAAATATTTTAGTAGTTCTATTTCTTGAGAGAAAAGCTGGAACTCCTTGTTTGAGCAAAAGCACAGCTCTTGGAAAAAATAGGAAAATCTATTCTCTCATTTCAAAAATAGGTATTTCTTAAGGCAGTTTACAAGAGACTAAGGCATTTCAAATATCTATCTATCTCTATCATCTCTATCTATCTCTGTCTATTTAAAAGCCAGTTCCTGGCCAGGAAAGAGATTCCAGTAAGTGTGCTGATGAGGATTCAGGCTATTTACTTCTGAAACAAGAACTGATGCTGGACAACCAAGTTTAAAACTGGATACAGTGCTCCAACAGTGGTGTGGCAGACTGGACGGTCAGCACCCAGGCGTTTTTCTGCTTTTTATCCTTAATCTGGGAACATCTCTCCTTGTTTTCTTTAGAACAGCAGCACGGTGACCCACCTCCATCATGCCCTACTTCTGGGGATACCTCAGATTCCTGGAAGTGGTCTCCCAAAATCCCTCTCCGCTAGAAATCCCTGGAGAACCACCTCTCCCAGCCTCGCTCTTCTTGACTCCCTTTTTACCTTTCTTTAAATTCAAGAAACACTTTGGCCAAGGTGCTTCCGCCAGACATCATGGAGACATCGATGGATCTGAGAAAGTTGAAGTGCACTTTAATAAGGTCCTGAAACAAAGGAAACATATTTGGAAATTGACATTTTAAATCTTAAATTTTCACATACTTAAAAAAAAAAGTATGGCTTGTCATCACTGACCAGGATTCAAAAAACCAATATATATATATATTTTGATACTCCTAAACCTGAGAGTTATGAGAAAATGAACTCCACACCATTTTGCTATAAAGTTAGGTTTCGAAATGAGTGTTATATCATGATTTGGCTCCTGGAAAAAAATTAAGACAATTTTTTTTTAACTTCAAGTTACCAGTCACTAAAATAGCAAAAGCAATTAAGCATTCAATTCCATTTCCTTCCAAAAGTGCCAGTAAACAATTCAATTAAATAAAAATCCATAAAACAAAACAATTTTCTTAAATAGATGAAAATTACTCATTGTTCCAAGATATCAGAACGCTGATTCCATCATCTAGAGCCAGATCCTGGGAAGTCCATAGCCACAAAGAGACTGGGGGGGGGGGGGGTGGATCCT